TGTGTCTTGATTTTGACCCAGGTGTCGTCTACATATCTGTACCAGTGGCTGGGTACTCCACCTGCCCCACTCCTGCTAAACAGATGACAATAGCTTTAAGAGCGACAGGACTTGGTGCCACTGAGTCTTTGATTTAATTTATTTATTTTTGCTGCGCTTTACTTGCATCTATTTGAAAGAGTGTAAACACAGAACATTATTTTATTTTGTATGCTGGAATATGCAGAAAATAGGTTTAAATGTTAAACAAACGTCTTCAAGTCAGAGAATATTGCATATAATTTAATTTTTGCTTGATGCATAAAGTTAAAAGATTAAAACTAATCAAACAAGTTTTAAAAAGAGACTTTCAATTTTATATGCAAAAAAACAGATTTGGGTCTATTGCTTTATTACATATTCAGGTTGTGTATCATCTTTTTAATAAGTAACTAAGTAATAAAGTAACTGATTACTTTTGGAAATAAGTAATCAGCAAAGTAATAGGATTACTTTTTGGAGAAGTAATCAGTAATTAGTAACTAATTACTTTTTTCAAGTAACTTGACCAACACTGGCAGTGAACACAACTGTTTATATTCGGGTTAGGTCAAAGGATTAAAGAAAATTAAAACCTACCAAAATAGTTTGGTTTGCACTGGTTTCAGTAATTGAAGATAAAAGTAAAATAAAAAATTAGGTGAAAGCTTTGCAGAGACTTTTCCACCTAAAATTTTAATGAAATATTTTAAATATTTACAGTGAGGAAACAGGATGCAATATCAATGACACTGTAAAAGCACTCATTTTAGTAAGCATGGTTAAGCGCGTCTTCATGAGATCGGCTTTCTGATACTTTTTAATCCTTTTGTCTGAATTTGGTGTGTTTTAAAGTAACAAACAGCTTTGAGTTTTTCATCGTAGTGATTCAAGTTTACGTTTTGTTTTAAGTGCACTTCATTTTTATTTACTTGTTCATACAAAACATGCCAGGGGTTATCAAAATGTTTTTATTTCCCTCCTTTGTACAACTTGAAGATGTCACGTCGAACTTTGATATAATAAATAAGAAGTCATATAAAACTGCCAGAGAGGTTTTCAAACATGGCCAACCTCTAATCAAAACCACACAGAGACAGAAATGATCAAACATTCGCCTACATTAAGAGCAAAAAGCACAAGTGGGGATTTAAGTGGACAACCAACAAAGATACTCACAAACTAATGTATGTTTTTCACCAGTATAATTTGCATATTGACACATTTACATAAACACAGAAAATATTGCCGTGTTGTTTGAATCGAGAAGGGGCCAGAAGGTTTGCAGAGGGAGCTTTTAATTCCTCAAAAATAAACCCTCCTTTTACTTTTACAGTACAGAGATGGCAAAGTTGAGGTAAAAATATTTTTTTTGTCATATAAAGGAGTTTCAAAAGCTGATGGGTGTTTTTCAGTGTCCACCCTAATATGACTTTATAACCACAAAGATGGCTTAAAAATAAATCTAGTTCCAAATCAGCTGACTACATTTAAAAACACAACAACACACTCACACACACACACACACCAAGCTTCAAAACTCAAATAGACACATTTTCTACAGAGTTCTAGTTTCTCCTCCACTCTGTCAGCTTTCCGCCCAATGCAGCTGTGGTCCCTCCTCACATCTCAGTGGGACCTTTCATGCTGGAGTCCTTTGCCGAAACCGGTGATGCCACCATGGGAAGGATGCACTGCGACGGCTCACAGTAACTGTTCAAACCAGGAGGACCAGGAGGTCCGGGAACACCAGCTGTACCAGCAACCCCACGAGGTCCCCTCTCTCCGTCACGACCGTCTCTGCCGTAAGCTGGTCGACCAGGATTGCCTGCAAACAGAATGACAGAGGATCGGAAGTTAAACATCCACGTTTTTCTGTAATCATCCTATAGACTACATTGATGCAGCCCCTGGACCTGACTCTTTACACTGCACTGTGATATTGCTATGCCCACCTTCTTTCTATGACTGGTTGTCAATAAATTCACTCTATTTTACAAGATTGTGGGTTTAGTTGTGTTTACTAAGCACTAATTTACAAATTTTTGCAATACAGTCCAGGAAGATTATCCATAAACATTTAGTTAGCATGTCAAATGTAATGATTGCACAAGAGCAGTGCAAAGAAAAACACAAAATATGAGGAAATATAAATATATTCAAAAGTTTCCCATGGTCAGTTTGCATAGAATATCTGCCTTTGTCAACTATGTGGAAAACCTTAGGCCAAGTACCCAGTAGTAGTCAAGTGCTGTGAATTTTTGCAGCTTCTCATTACACTTAAAATGTGTCATGTTTGGCACTGCAGGCATTAAAACTCATGTATCAGATGAATATCAACAAGTTACTAGGCCCTGGGCATCTAGAAAGTTCTAAACATGATGTGTTAAAGCACTTCTGTAATAATTAACATCATTATTTGCAGAGTAAAGCACACGACTACAAAAATGAAATGAACAATTTTAATCACTATAGCAATCAAGTCTGTTAAACTTGTGGTCATTGATCTGGTCAGTTTAGCAGCAGAGGGGGTTGTCTGTCAATAAGCTTCAGCTGCTTTTGTGTTTGTGAAATTAACAACAGGGGAACTAGAGGGGCAACAATGAAACAACCACCAAAACAGGAGTGGTTTTGGTGGTTGGCATTTCTTTTCTTCACTTGTTTTGCATACAGCTAGGGGCACTGTCACTATGCTAATGGAGCCCAGTTGGCATTTGGCATACACTACCAGATTTGGCAGATCTGCTGGTGTCCTGTGCTTTTCACAGATAAGAGTAGGTTCACGCTGAGCACACGTGAGAGAGATGAAAGGATCTGGAGAAGGTGTGGAAAACATTATTCTCCCTGTAACATCATTCAGCATGGTTTGGTCTGAAAAGGCACGCACACCCTATAGAGGCTAGGCAACAGCACCCTTGGACCAACTGTCGGACCCTATGCTGGTGCAGCGGGTCCTGAGTTCCTCCTGATGTATGACAATGCCCAACCTCATCTGACAAAACTTTGCAGGAAATTTCTGGAGAATGAACAAAGTGATACCATTGACTGACTACACGCTCACCTGACCTAAAGCCAATAGAACATCTTTGGGACGTCATGTTTTGATCCATCTGACACCACAATGTTATATATACAATGTCCAGGAGCTCAGTGATGCCCTTCTTCTCATCTGTGAGAAGATCCCCAGGACATCGTCTATCAGGCCTGCGTGGCGTGCACAGCAGGCATGCACATGGGAGTCGTACAAACTACTGATTACTATTTTGAGTTGTTCAAATAAAATTTACGCAAAATGGTCCAGCCTGCCACATCATTTTTACACTTTTTTTCTTCTGCACTCATTCCTTTAACACATTACCCAGTTTATATCAGTATAAATGTCCAGCATGATTTTTTTCCCCATTAAGATCTGATGTGTTTTCAAAGTCTTCCTTTGAACAGTTGTTTTGAGAAGTGTACTTATTCTCATAAATATAAACTATTTAACTGTTTTTTATTTAATGTGCACCCTTTCTTTGAATTGCAGAGCTTTCCATGCCTCTAATTAAAAAACAATTTTTGCAATGACTGAATGCAGCATTCACAGTGTTAAAATTATAATATTATTAACCTATAAGATTTTATGCACTCGGGAGGACAGAAAAGGATGTTTTTGCTGTTAATTAATATAAAAGGTTTTATGTAATTGAGCTCAGATCTGTTTTTTTTTTGTCCAACATTATTGTTCATCCAAACGTCATTTTTCTTTTGGACAATATTACATAATATTCACTACCTGATGCTTGACTGAGACATTTAGTTCATTTATTCTATGAACAGCAATCTCAATTACCTGGTAAACCAGGTCCACCTGGTTCTCCTTTGGGTCCTGTCGTTATGGGTCCCCTGTCCCCTTTATCACCCTGGTCACCTGTGGGGAGGAGAAGTAATTATCACCAATGGGAAACACATAATTAAAGTTACTATATTTAGCTGTGTTTAGCACGAGGTTCAAACTCAGGCTTCACACCACATCTGGTCCCTCATTCAGATGATTTATCCCTGAGGAGCTACGGGTCAAAACAACATGAATATAAATGACTGTCAGTTAATTTCGATAATCCCACAGGCTTGCAGCTTACACATGAGTCGTTTGCTTTTATTTTTCTGATTCAGTAATAGTAATCCTCCTGATAAGCTCCAGATTTCCTCTGTCTAAATTACAAATACATCATAGCTGTGTATCTCAATAACTAGAGTTAAGCCTGAAAGATTTATTTTTAATTTTGAGTTTGCATGTGATTCCATGTTTGGTTTAACCTCGCCTGTTTTCATATATATGCACCTGAAATGCACACCTCTGCCAGTGGTTTCCCATTATTTTTGAACCGATCTACAGGTGGCAGTAATGCACCAAGAAACTCAGTGATGCACCAAAAAAAGGCAGCGAATAAGAAATGTGCTATTATATGCTTGTTAGCAGTGACTTATCACCAACTGAAGTCAGACAGTTTTGCGCTCTTTGTGCTCACTGGACTTGCACATTACGAGTTGCGCTACTCCAACAATCTTCAACTGCCAATATAAAGCTCACCCTTAGGTCCTTTGATTCCCATCAGTCCAGGTGGCCCTTTCAGACCAGGCAGACCTCTTGATCCGGTGTGACCTGGGAAACCATTTTCTCCTGTTGGGCCTGGAGGTCCAGGTGGGCCTGGAGGACCGGGCATCCCACCAATACCTGACTCAGGCCTGGTCAAGCTAGCTGCTAGCTGGGCAAACTGATCTGTGACACAGGAGAATTTTATTTTTTAATTTTCTGTGTTAATCAGTGGATATATAGATGTAAAACAACAAACATTTTGTGTTTGCCACAGATTGGTTTGAAAAGCTCTTTTATCCAAATGACTGTAGAGCACACTGTCTTCAGTAACTACACCTAGTGGTAACGAGCCGATAGAAAGCTTACCTTGCATTACCCTCATGCAGACTTGTTTGATGTGTGTATCTGTTGGTGATTTTCCCTGAACAAACAGATCGTTGATAGTGATGAGTGATGGTTACTGAGGAAATTCTGGTGTTCTCAAGTGTTTCTTGAGAAGATTGGATATTTATAGTCTCATTAAACATTCTACAAAAATACTGAACAAGTATTTTCCATTGAATACTAATAACAAACACTGGATGTATCATATTCCCTTTCTCCAACAATCCATTTATTGAAAATTCAAAATAACAAGCATTGTGTTTCAGTTGAGCGAACATGCTGTTCAATAATCGACCATGATTCAACAGAGAGTTGTAACAGAACAGTACAGAGATAAAAATTTCTCACCGCTGGTCCCTGTATTCCCGGCAGGCCAGGCACCCCCATGTCCCCCTGCATGCCACGGGGTCCTGGTTGGCCCAACTTGCCCTCTTTCCCTGGCAGTCCTCGGCTGCCCTCGGGTCCTTTATTTCCCGTCTCTCCTGGTGGGCCTAACTACAAAACATAGCAGCAAACAGATGACTTCAACAGAAAAAAGGGAAGAGAAGTGGGAATCTGTGGAGTAAGATGGAAAACACTGGACAGAATAATACAGGTGTGTAAATTTTTGATCAATCTAAAAATTTAGGTGGGTTCTCATTTTTAAGAACGTATAAACCATAATCGTCAGCGAATATTTCACTTTACGTGTAAGGAAGCTAGCATATATGAAAGTTTACCTTTTTGAACTAAGTTATGGGAAAAAAAAATCTCCAATATTTAAGGATAGGATACACTTGGTTAGATGAACATACCGATCCTTTCTCTCCAGATTCTCCTGGTTCACCCTGAAAAAAAGAAAGCAGTCGTAAATAACTACATGCATGCAGAAACATCCACAGATATTTCTACCAGATACGTATCATATTTTATTATTCTGCAAAGCTGTGTCACGTTGTCACAAAGGAGTATTCCCCACAACAGATTTTGCAAACTCAAGTGATTCTTGACACTGTTAACAACTACATCCACTGCGTCACTGCGAGCATGTCTGTTTTCCTACTTCTTGGTACTTTCGGTAGTCGATAACTCACCACATCTCCTCTCTCTCCTGCTGTTCCCTCAGCTCCTGGAAGTCCCTAAAAATAGTAAAATTTTTAGCTCAAATCCCACTCTGTGATCTGTCTAATAATAATGATAATGATATTACAGTTTAATAAATAAATAAAAATACCTGGTCTCCCTTTGGACCATCAAGACCGACTGCACCCTGAGAAAAACGAAAAAAGCAAGATGATTATTTTTGGTAGTTTGATAGTATTAACTGGAAATAAATAAATTTAATGCACCAATACCCACAATAATCCAATTTGCTAATCTAGATCTGATCCAGACTTTATTTATCTGATTGAAGCTGCCTGAGTCAAAAAAAGATATGATTTAAATGGACCTGCATTAGGACAGTGTGGGATATTGGATCAATTATTTATTAGTCTAAGGAGCTTGGAAAGAAAAGCGTCTGGACTTTTTGTCTGGATCAGTTATTTATTATTTTTACAATTTTCGATGAATTTTTAATAGAATTGTCATTTTAGTGTGGTAACCCATTCTGACAAATGTATTTGGAAAGCTAATCTGAAGCCATCTATCAGTTGTATGTGCAGTATTTCCTGACTGGGGCCTGATACTGGTCGTCTGCAGAGTCACAACAACACTCCATCAGCCTTTTTTCAACTCAGGGGTAAAAACACACAATTGCTCCTGTTATAAAGTTTTATACAAAACTTCATCCAATTCACCTACTTAGTTCCAGTTACACCAGAAAGCGTGCAAACAATAGAATTAAGGATTTGTCTGGGAAGGTTCTCAGTGATCCAGGTCATCGTAGTCTAAGGAGCTTGGAAAGAAACGTGTCTGGACTTCTTTAGGTTTCCGTGGAGACGTTTCACCTCACATCCGAGAAGCTTCTTCAGGTCTAAGAGCAATTGGTGGAGAGTCCCAGATTTTAAGCCCTATGGGAGTGTCCCCCAAGAGGGTCATGGTCCCCTATTGATCTCCTACCTAATCACACGAGCCAAGGTGTGAAAATGGGTGTGGGTCACAATCAGCCAAGGTTTCGGGTGGTTAATACACACTGTAAACATTTGCTATGTTTACAGTGTGTATTAGCACTTCGTATACTCTCCACCCCACCCCACCCCCGCAAGTGATCAGCTGATCTAACTTCCTCATGCAGGTCTGAACACGATTTTAAATCAGATCTGTTTTTGTCTTGTTTCATTTTGTGTCTCTTACCCTGTCTCCTTTCTGACCACGGAAACCAGCAGGGCCAGGGAGTCCGGGTAGGCCTGGATTTCCTTTGCTCCCCTATTTTTTTTTTTTTTTAAAATAGCCACACAGAGAAATAACCTGCTTTTAACATATAATACACACACACACACACATTGAGAATCACAACACAGAACACACTGTGTGAAGCCTAGAGCAGGTACCATACCACCCCCGACTTAATCTAACCATATCTACAG